ATGGTGGGGTAGTTAGGATGGGGGAAGGATGTGAAGTTGAGCGAAGTGAACGGCCGGCAGAAACATAGCCTGCTGTGGTTATAGATCAACCAGGAGTAGGCAGGGCGCCTGAACATGATCCAGAATAAGGAGCGGTGTTAAAAACAACTCAGAACTTCTCCTAACCCTACTGGAGCGATAAGTTTGTATTTGCTGTATAAATACACCACTTCCTTGTTAACAGCCTGTCCCCAGCACAGCTGGAGTCAGGCCACATCACATAATGGAAACTAGCATTTTCCAGTTTTTTTTATATATAAAAAAAGCTCTTGGCTGCAGCTTGATCTGATCCTTGATGCAGATGGCCTTCAAGAACACTAGCCTGGCTGCTGGCATGCAATATTCGAAGGGATAAATGCCTGAATAGCAGTGTGATGTAAAATATTTCAGTCACGCACTTGACATCCCTATTGGAAAAGAGTGAGGCAGTGGAGGCATCAGGGACACTGATCACTAAAAATATGTTGTTACGTCTTCATGATGGGATATCCCATTATAGAGACATAATAGAAAGGTTGCTATTTGTAGCGATCAACGTATGATGGCCCCAGTGGCTTAGTTCTGAGAACTGTAATTTGAGAATGAACAGCAGGAAGCAGCGGGTGGGATAGGGAGCAGCTGAGCTGTGTAAAGAAAGCTGAACATATCATGGGGTGGATCTGACTGAACCCGACACTCAGTGTTGTCTGATCTCGGACTTTCAATGTGTCTGTAAGCGGGTTTGTCCTGGCAGCAGGTGAGCCACTTGGACTGGGTCCCAGGTTCAATCCCAAGGCCGCGTTGAGTTACATGGAGTGTCAGTCGATATTGTACGACTGGCTTTCACACCCTCAGTTCGGGAAGGGAAATATCAGCAATGTTTCTTACTCTGATCAGAAGAGGCAAGATGAAGAGAGTTCCACACAGGGATATAGTGGCTGGAGAATATGCTGTATTTTTAAAGTCAGGGATCAGACAAACTGAGACTCAAATTTAATCCGATCTACGCATGCACAGGACAAAGGAAAGCATTCTATTAAAACTGCCTTTGCCTACAAATACACAGTCATCACGCTTTAAACCAAATCCTGTGATGTGTCTTGAGATGTTTCGATAACCCAAGGCTTTATATCAAAAACAATGTCTTGTTACTTTAATACTTTGATACTTTAATCCTATTGATCTTGTAGTCTGTGCCCTTTCCTGGGCCTGACTTCAACTACGCCCACAAGGTAAATTATTTTGAAACCAGGTGTTCACTATGAAACGAATTAAAGGTGCAGACACATGTCCCGTCATTCAGCTCAGGGCATGATTCAACAATCCCTATTCATTAAAGAGATGATTTGTGTTTAAGTAACTGCATATAAAAGGCAACAGCGCTGTCTCGTTATCTTTATTCCAGTTGCTGAATTCTCCTGGGTCATTCCACGAGGATTATTGCTGCAGGTTAAGAGAGAAGTAGTTAACAGAGAAGCAGTGTGCCTAAAAGCAGATTCAAATGGACTGTGGAGAATGGAGCCAAATTTGCATCTAAACAGGTTTCCAGGGAGATTATCAGATGTGGTGTGGAATGTTTGATCGGATGGTGCAAGGTGAAGAGAGTTCCAAACAGAGCTATAGTGGCTGAAGGCTTGGCAACCGATTATAGCAAAGGGGGAGTGAGGAACAACTAACAAACCAGCCTCAGAAGAGGGTAGGAGTGGTAATGAGCAGCCAATTTGTGGGAGGGCTCCTGTACTAAGAGCTTAATTTGAAATGAATCAAATTTCATTTCCACATCCAATGAAATCCAACAGAGCGATGTGATTCGAGGAGGTGTCTGCCACCGGAGGGTGTTACAATTGATATTCCAATGTTACCTTATGATTCCTGCATTTGACAATGTTGGGTGCAAGTACGATCAGACCTAGCTCTGATGGTATCCTGACCCTCAATACCTAGGTGTAACATGTCTAATGGACCCTCCGGTGAGGTAACAGAGCATGATCATTGTCTGTGGATCAGCACTACAACTTGACTCAGTTGCCTTCAGCAGACGAGCAGAAAATTGGAGGACAAAAAGACCCTAACAATAGGCCAAACTATTAAAAGAGAAAGAATCATTCAAGGAGGGAAACCAGATGTAGGGTTCTTTATTGCCTTTAGGTGAAAAGTAATGTTCATTTTCAGTGAATAGAAATAGTTTTCCAAAATAAAGTTGTACGTACTTAATAATATTTACTTGAAAATAAAAAAATTGCAAGGCTATGTGGCAAGGGTGGGGGAGTGGGACTAATTGGATAGCTCTTTAAAAGAGCCGGCACACGCATGATGGGCCAAATAATAATCCTTATATTTGATATATGGCATTATCACGTCTTCGAGATATCTCAAAGTGCTTCACAGAACATACTGTAAAGTGAATTGAATGTAGATTTTGTGTGTAATCGCGGCAGCCAATTGCGCATCGTGTATTGAGTGCCCAATTTATTTATTATTATTACTTTTTTGAAGGAATTATTATCCCCGGAAAAGCGATCCGGCAATCGGCTAACAACAAGATTCCTACATTCTGTTAGGTAAACAGAGTAAGGAAACTTGCCCAATGTTTCGCCTGCCAGGAATCAAAGCCAGGTCTCTCTTTCTGTGCTGTAAGATTCTATGATTCTATGAGACACTCATTACAATCATTGCTGTTTCCTGATTTATTATACGGTATGATACAAAATTATATAGCATCTTTCATATGGGAAGGACGCCCCAAGGCGCTCGACAGTCAGGGATTTCCACTTAAAGAGAAGAAAGGCAAAGTTTATTTCATACAAAGTACTTAGCCCACCTAGGTGAGGGGGACTGTGTGTGGAATGTACAATTCCAACCTGTGTAATTGTATTATTAGAGCCATTTTTCATCTGCAAGGAGTTTGTCGTTTCAAATCACTGTATATTCAGCTGACAACAGCTACCAGAACACGTCCACTGAAATCCTAATGTGCAGAGCAATGTGATTTGAGGCCCTCTATCAGGTGTCAGCATGGGAAAATTTCTCTGAATTATTGTGTACTTAGGAGGCCTCCTAGCTACTGTGTGTCGCCGTGTATCTTTAAGCTTCCAGCTCAATCTACGACTGTTTGTGGGCCACTGCTGTGCGCAATTGGCTGCTGCATTTCGCCCACAAAATATACTGTCAATTTACTTTAAGGTATATTCTGCGAAGCACTTTGAGACATCTCGAAGATGTGATAAGGCGCTATATGTCTGAATCTGAATGGAAAGAGTCTCTAGCTTGTAAGCTTTTTTTAATTTTACCTCGACTCATACTGCCACCTCCTGGAGGTGTTTAAGTATCACCTACATGCATTCACATACACACACACACAAAACACATGCATGTACATACACGTACACGCACACTCACATATACACAACACAAACACACAGACAGCAACTGAGGTGTAATTACTGGGATTTGTGAAAGATTTGTAAATAGCAAATCCCTGAAGTACCTGGATGTTATGGGAGTCAGACCTGCTGGAACTCCGGGTCTTCTGCTGGGTGGCACCGAAGCTCCTTTGGTCACAATCAGACCTCACTGAAATCAGAACAGAGATTGGACCCAGTGAATCGGCTTTATACACTTTCACATAACTGCAGCATTCACTAGTTACAAATCAATTTTCATCTCCTGAACTATTTGTTTTGTTTACAATAATCCTTGTATTTGATAGGGTTTGACGATAATCCTTATCACATCATGGGAACGTCTCAGTGTTTACATTATTAATAACACGTGCTGTGCTCTAATCTGTGAGTACCTCAACCATGGAATATGCTCTTATCTGCTAGGAAAGGATCTGTAGTAATCACAACAGTGTATACGGGTTGACGTGTCATCTTGCAAATGGGTAAGTCTTTATCCCAATACACACTGACATCTACTGGGAAAATAAAACACAGCAGAATGCCAGTTCCAATTCCCACCATCGATTTTCAGTCCTTAGTTTGAAATAAATTAACAGTGACAGGATCACGGCTATTGATCTTTTTCACAACATCACAAGAGATGTTCAGATAAAGAAGACCCTTTGGTCCACTTGATCTCATCCTTTCAGAATACCAAATGCAAATGCTGCAGTCAACTTGTGCAAAGTGAGGTCCAAGAAGCAGCCATAAAGCAAACAGGATTGTTGGCCAGGTCCCCGGGAGAAACTCTATTGTCTCTTCCAATAGTGTTATGGGATACTTAACATCCACTTGAACAGTCAGATAGGACTTTGATTTAAAAGCCATCAGCTTTAATAATAACCCTTGCATTTGATATAGCGCCTTATCACATCGTCGAGACATCTCAAAGAGTTTCACAGATTATACTGTAAAGTGAATTGGCTGTATATTTTGTGGGTGAAATGTGGCAGCCAATTATGCACAGTAGATAGCAATTGTGCGGAGCTCACAACCTTCCAACTCAAGAGGCAACTGAGCCACACTACAACTAATATGAAAAATAACATTTTCAAAACAAAACAAATGAAAAAGTGATTTTCAAAGCATCAGTCAGCTCAACTGGAAACAAATATAAATCATAACCATAAAAAAATCTTTAAAATTTTATACAGTAACTGCAATAGAACTTCCCTTCCTCCAAATAAAGGTGAAACAATGGATTCTGCCTCTATCACCTTACTTTATTAAATGACAGATATCTAATGTGTTTTAATAAAAGGTTCAGGGAGAAGTTTATTATTCATGTGAATTTTATTATTAATAATACCTAGATTTGATCTAGAGCATTTTCACATCAGGAAGATGTCATAAAGTGCTTCATGGGATTATACCTTGAGGTGGAATGACTGTGTTTTGTGGATGAATTTGTGTTTAATATATGCAGAAACCAAAAAAGTTAGGAACAGTGCATTTTATCAAAGATACAGAATGTTTATTTAAATTTGAAATTTAGCAGAGATATATAGTATGTTTTGTGAACTCAATGAAACTTGGCAGTTTCACAGACCATAACAATTCATCAAGCGTTAAATGCACATTCTACACATCACTTCCAAATAATCAAATAGTGCACTGACTACAGGTAATACTAGGTATAAAAAAGAATTAGTTTTCTTCCTTAAAAAAAGCATAATTTGCAAACTTCAATTTTATTCTCTCAAGGAATAAAAGTCCACAGAAGTTGGGGAAAGGAGGAAGTAAATAAAAACATATCTAACCCATGAGTACATTATGCTTTTTGCATCGTATTAATAACCCCTTAAAAACACATACGTTTTAAATTTGGGTAAAAGGATAAAGGAGTCCTGAAGTCAGTAAAATTTGTCACATTTCATTATGAGATCAATAAGGTTCAGTGGAGGTAGGTACTGGGGTTTGTTAAGAATTCGCTAAGTTTCTGAGACATCATGTCCAGTTCATTTGTGTTTGTATATTTCAGTAGGTTGAAGCTGGTCACAAAGTAGTGTCTGAGGTATCTCTGTAGCACACATTTCTGAAGTTTCTTCACCAAGCGAAGAAAGCACTTCCGGAAATTCCGCCAATCTTTGGAGCGTGAATATTTTTCGCAGGACCAAAACAATAGTGTCTGAAAAAGAAACCCTGCAATTAAACACTTGCACTTTTTATTGCTGCATATCTCTCGATATCCTGAGCTGACAAACAAAATTCATTCATGTCAAAATACTGATAACTGTTTCAGCAACCAATCTACCAAAGATCTAAGGCCACATTTTTCAGCCTTCTTCCCCCACCCTGCACTCCATTCCCCATTCTCACAGGTCACCAGTTAGAGCAAGGATATGATGAATGGAATACATGTTTCAATATTTAGCTTAGCAGATAAAAGCATTTGTTGCACAATATTTGTTGTCATAGGGGATAGTATGGCTGGTATTCGAATCTGGAATCAATTGGTTATTACTGTTCAAAATTAAGTTGTAGCAATTTTAGTTATCAAATCAACTCACTTCATCAGAATAAAACAGCCTTAATGTTCATTTTAGCTCATCGTCACATGGAGGAGTCAACACATTATCTGGTTTCCCAACCAGCTGAAACTTTTGCATTAAATTTGAAAGTCAGGTTGGAATAAAACAAATGAACCAATGGTGTAAAGGAAATGCTGAACCTGAACAAACCTGATCCTAAGTGGGACAAGATTTACTGGAGATATAAGGAAGGGATCTGGGATGGAAGGTACCAAGGATCTTAGCAATACAATTAGAAAGAAACTTGGCAGTTTCACAGACTATAACAAGTGTTAAATGCACATTCTAAACATCACTTCCAAATAATCAAATAGTGCATCGACTACAGGTAATACTAGGTATAAAAAATATTTATTTTTCCTTNAAAAAGTATAGACTGATTCAGGGTTTCAGTGTTTTTGTCTGTGACTGTAATATATAGAGTTTGCAATTCTAATTTATATTATGTTAAGCCACCACCATCCATCCTATGGAACCCAGGAACCTTGCGGCAACCGTCACCCACCACAATCCAACTCTGACAAGGCACCATCCAGCCCAGGGCTGCCCAAGAGCGGCAGGAAAAGCAGCCAAACGGTGCCATCAGTCAGGTATCGGGGCCCGAGCATGGGGGAGGGATGGTGTAGGGGTGAGGGAAGGCAGAGAGGTGGGAGGGAGACCAAAGGCAGGGTTGAAGAGAAGGGTCTTGAGAGCGGCCTTGAAGGAGGAAAGGGAAGAAGCGAGGCGAAGGGACCATGGGATGGAGTTCTAGAGTGCGGGAGCAGAGAGGCTGAAAGCCCGGCCACCAATGGTAGGGCGGGTCGGGCGGGAGACATGGAGCAGGCCGGAGCCTGATGAACGGAGGGAGCGGGCAGGTTGGTAGGGAACACACACACACAATGTTGTTTTATTAGTATAAATAATCCGTGTGTTTGATATAGTACCTTATCACATCGCCAAGATGTCTCAAAGCATTTCATAGGATATACTGTAAACTATATATATTTTGTGGGCAAACGTGGCAGCTAGTTTATGCATAGCAATGTCACACAAACAGCTGTGGAGTAAAGCACTGAGAGAAACTCTCTTGTCATAAAATGGGTCCTGTTAGTTCAAGAGCATTTATACTCTACAACAACAACAACTAGCATTTATATGGCATCCCTCACGCAGGGCAGCGACCCAGAGCGCTTTGTACCTGCAAGTGATAGGATGTAATGACTGGTTTAGATCCAGGGCACCAGAAGTCCTCTTTCAGTTTTCTTATGACTTGTAAACACTTCATACGACAACCGCCATCTTCGTCCAACTCGTCTAAAAGTACTAATTCAGCACGTGTGAACGAAAGCTGCCAGTGGTAATTCGATTTTGCCAACAGATTAAATCCAAAAGACTGTGAGAAAGATGAAAAATAGCATTAAGACTTTTATTAAAAAATTCAATGAGTATTTAACTTCTCAAATAACAAATTTGTCCCTAGCCCCCCAACCTATCACCCCACCCTCAAGAATCCGCTGCACAATTTATCTGTTAATGAATTCACAACAGAAGGTTTCTGTATTAGAAAAGGCAACTACCTTAGCAGAAAATTGGGCAGAGAAATGCCAAGAAGCCAACTTGCAGGCTCATCCGATGAGAGTGGAAATTGATATAATTCAGTGTACACAAATTCATGCATCAAATAAGCTTCAGCAATAAACAATGCAAATTGATGCAAATGCAAATATCAATATCAACGAGTTGGGGAAATAAATTGAGACTGAACACCATGTCTTTCTAACAGAGAAGTGAAATAAGTGTTTCCAGGGACAATGGGTGGGAAGATTGAATTGTGAGGGAAAACAGTGTATATGTTTTGCCTTCTTACTGTATCCAGCTGTGGTTATTATTAATTGGCTCGAGTTCTTATGAAAATAACTTGCATTTTTAGTGCCCACAACATCAAAATGTCTCAAAACACTTCATAGTATTCACTGTCAACTTGTAGTGACTGTTTTTGTAGTACAAATTGGAACTTCAAGCTCAGTGAGAATCGCTGCAGACATTTAAAAGAGGAAACAATGTTTGAAAGATTATTTTTTAGCAAAGCTGTTTTTAAACATATTGTGCGAACAGAATAAAAATTGGTACAATGTTATACCAGACCAGTGAAGGTAATTCCTTGTCCATTGAAGTATACGAGGTAACAATAATAATAATAATCCTTGCATTTGATACAGCACCTTATCACATCTTCGAGGCATCTCAAAGCGCTTCATAGAATATACTGTAAAGTGAATTGACTGTATATTTTGTGGGTGAAACGCGGCAGCCAATTGCACACAACAGTGTTCCACAAACAACAGTCATGGATTGAGTGACCAATTTATTATATTTTTTTGAAGGATTTATTACCCCCGGAAAAACGACTAACAACCAAGTTCCTACTTACTGCTAGGTAAACAGAAGCTTGTAGAGTAAGGAAACTTGCGCAACCTTTCGCCCTGAGGGGAATCTAACTCAGGTCTCTCATTTGTGATATGAGTGCTCTAACCACTGAGCTACAGGACTCCACGATGCAAGAATGGTAAAATTTATGTTCATTTACTTCCTAGACTTGTTGCAATGCTGCACAGCACTGAGAATCTAAACAGTAAATAAAGGAAATAAATAGGATCTAAATAATAATAAAGGAGCAGTAAAACAAAATCTTAAGAGACATCAGCTCAGATGAAAATATTGGATGGTATAGAAATCTGGGAATCAAATCACTTTATTAAATTAGTGCATAATGAGATTATATCCTTTAACACTGGAAGTGCAGTCAAAGTTGTACGTATTTCATAATAATAATAATCCTTGCATTTGATATAGTGCCTTATCACGTTGTTGAATGTACTGTAAAGTGAATTGACTGATATTTTGTGGGCGAAATGCAGCAGCCAACTGCGAACCTCAATGTCCCACTAAGAGTTTTGGATTGAGTGACCACATGTTTTTTTAAGGGATTATTACCCAGAAAGCGATCTGCCAATCAACTAACAACTGAGTTCCTACTTATTGCTAGGTAAACAGAGGTGTGTATAGTAAGGAAACTTGCCTAAGGTTCCTTAAAAATTCTAAAAACAGAGAAGGAAGGGCAATATGGAAGAACTCCAGAGGGAGAGGGGAAAGTGGTTATAGATTGCCCACCAATGGTATAAAAAACGTTTTCTGCATAACAAGCTACAATAGTGAAATGAGCACTAATATAGCATAGTTGTTTATTGTTGTCATATCAACTCCAAGTCAAAAAACAAACACAAAATATTATTTTAATAACTTTGGCAGAGAAATTCCAATCAGGTCTAAATTTACTGATTTAGCATTTCACAGTGTCCAAATGCAATTCTTAATGTAGCTTTGAAACCTGTTTTCTGTAAGTTCTTTTAATAACTAAAGGCTGTATTCAACAAGTTCTACAACGCTACATAAATAAGCAAATCGAAACTCAGTTGAAACCTCCTCATTCTTTACTTATCTTTACTTTTATTAGCACACTACCTAATCATACTCATTTGTCTCTAAACTAACTATAAAATGTTTGCTTACCTGTTTTCTTGTTCATTGTAATTCTACCATTTGTTGGGGCGTGATAACAAAGCCCCCAAAAGTGATGAAACATTGATTAACTGAAAATAATAACTCCAAAAGACATCTTTTCAGCCACTCAAATATCAATATTTGTAAAAGCTGACACAGTTGCAACATAGAAATGAACAGGTCAATTTTAAACGCAAGATACATTAAATATATGTTACTATGTTAGGAATGGCTACCGAGTTCAACGAGTTTGCCCCATGATACCAATCGTGCTGTGTACAAGCGAATTGGGATTTACAATAGTTTGCTCCAGTTGTTGAGTTGACAACAGTTCAGGCATGATGTTCGAAAATCCTCCTGCTATGCCTCAATTTCTATAATTCTGCATATGTTCTACCAGTGCCTTTGGCATATAAGCAAGCAAGGCTATCACAAATGATTAACTGCAATTCAATTCAACTTCTCTAAACATAGACACAGTATAATACATTGGAACACATTACAGCATCATAAAATCTCATTTGACAGCTAAGAAAGAAGTAGTTTATAAATTATTAGACTTCAGTTTATGCTTATACTTACGGTGCAAGTCCATTGGATAAATGCCATATATGGTTGTGTGTCCAACATATTTCTACTTACTCCAAAACTTGGTGCAGCAACAGAACTAACAATAAGTTCTGGCCCATTTCTCCAAAATACACATATGCCCAGCCCCTATTACCTTTCTGCTATCATTATTTCTTTTGGAGTTGGAAACAAATCCCAAAATTGACTAAAAAACAGCTCCCAAAGACATGGGTTCAATCAGTCAAATACCACAAGCTTTGCTATCTTAATGTGTATTTATCTATCATGCAAACAGTTTTTAACATGAAGTGTCAAGTTTTCTGTCATTTTTCTCTTTGATTTGGTACCTTGACGCATCGAGCTTTATCTTTTAACGGCCATCGTTTCAGAAATCGGGGCCAGTGTGCTTTGCTTGGCCAGTAATTGGGGATCTCAATGGCTGGTACTAGTTCTGCCTCGATCTGCTGCTCTGTTGTTTCCACAGCAATTCTTACAAATGGACTCACATTTTCTAAAATGCTGATTTTTCCTGCAAGTAGAACACACATTTTCATGTACAGGCAGTGAGACATTTACACAGTAATATTCTCTGAATGAAAGAGAGAATAGGAAATGAAAGGAAGCATTAGATTAGGAAACTCAAAAGAGAGAGCCGAACAGAGAACAACAATAACAACTTGGATTTATATAGCGCCCTCCACGCCAGAGTGTTTAAAAGCCAGTGACACTGAGAATTTGTTCACCAAGACTGCTATTACTAATTCAAAATCTATACAATTAACATCTACAATATCTTTTAACTCACCATTTGCAAAACAGTCTGCTGTTGCGTCCAACAAAATCACTGTATTAATTGTTTCAGTGTCTTTCTCACTCCCTCTTCATATTTAAACTGAGAACTTACGATGTCTTGCCCATAGGTTTTTATTAGCAACATTATATGAATTATATGAATTATATGAATTATATAAAGCACAGGGAAATGAGAACATACATGGCAAAAAGCAGTTCTTAGTTAAGAATAAAGGTTGGATCTTGTAAAACATTCAAGGTAAACAGTTTGCTTTTACTCATGCATTGCTCTGCATATGCATTTATTATTTATGCATTCATTGGTTCTTTTCAACAGGATTAGATGATCCTTTACCCTATTGAGCTACAATGCTACATTCTAAAGATCATTGGAAAATCTGAAGCCATTGCAATTGCAATGACCAATTGCATTACTGTATTATAATAATAATAATAATAATAATAATCCTTGCATTTGATATAGCGCTTTTCACGTCAGGAGGACAAATTTTTCTGTGACTATTGGGCTTTGTGTAAAAATACAGTGAAAATGACCATTTCAATCTGAGAGATTAATGGTAGAGGGTGAAAATCTAACAGCTGATCTTTACATCCAGGCTTTAGGAGGTCCTATCTAATAAAGATTTATTTTTATAATCTCATAATAAACAGAACAATTTGATTACAGAGTGAATCTATTACCCCACCACCCACCTCCCACCCATGTAGTAATTTTTGGTGCCCTCATTTTCAATTATTTCTTACTCTTTAGATTCCTTAAGTAAAGAAGCAGAGAAGCAGAGAGGTGAAATTCTGCAGAATCTGCTACTGGAGATGGTAGCTTTACCAATCCACTGCCAATATCAATAGCTTCATCAACTGGTAAAACTCCACTCACTGGATAACAACATTAAGTCTTAAGACAGTCTAGAGGTAAGTCATTTTCACTATCCCACAGAGTGAACTAAATGATCAGCAAAAACAGTTAATGTATGTCAATGACCTTTTTCTTTAATATACTAAAAAGGGACTTGCCAAATATTTGGTATACAATGAGGCTGAAGGTGATAAGGATACGAAATGGCCGAGATAATAGTTTATAAAACACGATGGTTCCTAAGTTGCTGGGACCATGGACACAGCTATGGCAGAACGCAATGAATGGTCAGACTTGTAGTATTACATGGATATTGTGGAATTTTTGTGTGATTATCATCAGAGCCCTAGTAAAGTTTTACATATGTTATTCGCTTCCTTTGTAGGAAACGTGTTTCAATAGCTTCCACAATAGTCGACGGATTTGCCGAAACTTTCCTGGAATAACTTTACCTAACAAAACAATAGTTAAAATCCAGTAGCAGGTCATCCCAATGACAAGCCTCTGGGACTTTCCGTTCCCTTTTTTTTAATTTGCTGAAAGCTCTATCATGCATTTTTACATCATCATCGAGCATTCAGTAACACATGATTTACTGTGATTATTAATAATGGCCAATAGTCAGTTGCCTATATGCCTCAGTCAAAGTTATTATATGCAGAAAATATTATACAGTGGAATGCAGAAAACAGAAATGGTGCAAATGTTTGCTAAAAGAAACTAGGCTATGTAAAGGAACAGTGACATAATATGCCTCCCCTACCATCACAAACAATACTTTCACTGTAGATGGAAAGAAATAATAATAATATTGCATCTTCAATCAACAAGTGTGAAATATTCTCACGGTTTAAAACACAAGAACATGTAAATCATTTTGATCTTCCACTCACCCTGAAAGTTTGAAGCCTGGATCGTGTTCTCAAGCAGCTCTTTAAAGATGGCGACTACTTTAGCGGGAACAATGTCACCCTCAAAAGTGACATCTGATTGGTGCCATTCCTGAGTACTCTTGAGGAACTGGTCCACTTCCAACCATTGGTGAAGTTTCTCGGGTTCACGAACAGGTGAGATGAGCTTGGAACCGTGCAAGGTATAATAGCGCCACTGTCGTGCCTTCCTCTCCGTGTAGCCTGCCAGACCTCGCAACGGAACCATAATTACGAACTGGGATGGTGCCTCAACCTGGGAGAAAAGCAGGATATCACTTGGAAACAACGACATGCATTTATACAGCACTCCCCATTACCCCCTCACACAGGGTAGCACCTCAGAACACTTAATCAAGCAGTAACATGTGATTTAACTAGCATTCCCTTTTACAGATTTCAATGTGGATTGCGAATGTTTGACAGCACGATAAAGCGATTTACACTTATAAATCTGTATGTTAGCCACATGGCCACGCCATTCTATATTTTACGAAAAGGGTACATGCAAAATAACATATTCCAGGTGTAATGATTATTTAATGACTATTAAATGCAGGACATTTCTGTTTGTGTGTATGAGATGTATGTGTGAATCTGTTTCCGAGTGAACAATTTAGAAGCAGCAGTGAAACAGCTGATGTTCACAGAAGCAGCCCCAGGCAAAACACCTGGGTTTGTTCCATAACCTCCTGTAAACTGCCATCTGAGGCTTTCTGTTGTCCAGCTGTGCATTGGGCATGTACCACTAATGTGGAGACACCAATGTCATTACTAATGAATAACAGGCTTGTTTGTAATGCGTGAGAGATTGAAATTGTACAATAATATGTGAACTGGGGAGAAACTGAAGCACACATTGAAAAGCATGATTCAGTTCTGATGATATTTTAACCTCTCTTTACACCCTGTATACAACGTATTTTCTTCTGCTTTTAAACTAGCGTGTCATGATCGGATTTTTTTAAAAAATGTTAAAGGTTGTATGCTAAGAGTAGTTTTAATTTGCCTCTGACACAGCAAAACTTGATTATTTTCATTGTCACCACATTAATTGGAGTGTCAGATAACAAAAGTCCTCTGGTCCATTTGAACAATCATTCTTGAATACCAACTCTAGTCTTTCCCTTACAGTAATAAGCCATTTCTTGGAAGAAGTCAATATCCTGACCTCCAGCCACTTTATCTGACAACCTATTCCGGTTGTTGATTTCCCTCTCTAACAAAATACTTCCTGCATCTCCTAAATTCACTTGCAAAACCCTGAACTAGTGTCCTTTGTCCTGCAGCCAGGACAGGCTAGTGTCTGCTTGGGTTCAAATACTATGAATAACGTGGTTTTCTTGTTTTTTCCCTCATTTATTACATTTTAATGTACATGCAATTTCAGACTCCATAGGTGTAATCCATTTTAGTGGCTCTGGAACACAAGAATGATGTGCTTTAGTATATCACCAACATTGAAAATCTTCTGTTCTGCTCGTATAATAATATATTTACAGATTGTTCTTATACCATTATTTTTGTTTTATTTGCCTCAGGATTGTTTTTTCCACAGCTGGCTATGGCCCTCAACATGTCCCTCATCCCCTCCAATTCACCATCGGCAGCCGTGTTTTCTGCCAATACCTGTGGAACTCTCTGTCTCAATCCCTCCTCTTTTCCCCATCTTCAGATCGCACACGAAGACATGACCTCTCTGACTGACCCTAGGGTCATCACCTCATTTCCCAGCATCAAGCTCTACCACTGTTAAGTTCTTCACAACGTTACCACATAAAAGGTGCTATATCTAATATATATATATTATATACTGTATATACATATATATTATATATAAATGCAAGCTGGTGTTTTCACATTATAATCCATGTACCGTTTATCAATCACCCTTCCTAGTAATCTATTTTTATTAATGATCGTAAATATGATACACTAACAATTTGAAAGAAGACCTGATGGTCAATTGCTGTGGGATAAGACATTCCAATAACCAAAAAACAAACAGATACAGTTAAACACTGTAAAAATCAAAGAATAATCAATATATAAACTGTTAATTACTGGAACAAAACAAATACACGAAAACTGCTTCCCCTCCCCCCATTATCTTTATAAGAGACAACTACAAATACATTCTGATACATATTTAGGGAAATACAAAACAAGGAAATTTTGGGGGGCAATGGTGGCTCAGTCATTTGTGCCAGTGTTAAAGGGTAAATAAATAGCCTAAACTATTTATTCTCCACACAAATAGACAATTTATTGGATGAAAATTGTTTGGGTAGATTCAGGTAAGGTTGAATTGTTCGGGTGGATTCAGGGAAAGAGTCATTCCAATGCTGGTTGAACAGGGAATGCATAACTAGACACACCAGGTTTTAAAACATTCTGATCGGCAAAAAGAAAGGAGCTGGATCAACTGGTTGTGGCGGAAACTGCGGCTGTTAACCACAGCAATTTGTACCTGGATGGAGGAATGTTTGGGTTGTTTCCCTGTCAGAAGAGCTGACCATTTAGCCACTAAAGCCTGCTGATCCTAAGAAAAACAAATGAAATATTCTCAGTACAAAGAAATCATAAAATATTCATTGTACACCAGGATGACAGAGAGCTGCAAAACTGAAAATACATCCTGAAGATCTGAAAATGTGCAATTTTTCAGATTTGCATGAAAAGGCTGTAATGCTGCAGATTTTATTAATGACACATTAAAATCATACAATAACATGAAACCCACAGGTTTCTCTGACAATTGAAAAATAACCACTTTGCTTACCATTATTCAAAGGCTCCTGCTGAATCTTTAAACCAAATCTTTCATTTTGAAAAAAATAACTGTTCAATGGGAGAGAACATAGCGAGTCCACTGTCTTTCTAAGATCACATTGGAAATGAAAGAAATGACACAAAGAGACAGAGACAGTTCAGAGCAATCTGAGATGCTGTTTAGTATTGATCACTGTAGTCAACTAAGGACCAAGATCTACAGCAGTTGCCCTGAGAACTCGTGCCGCCTGCAAGGTTGAAGCGAGCTCTTAATCATTGTATTAATGTGGTTACCTAACCACTGACACAATAAATAAATAAATAAATAAATAAATAAGCAAGTAAATACATTTTACTCATTTTAGAAAATATTATAGGTGGAAATTCATGGGTCATTGATACATTTACAGGCCTTGCCAAACAAGGGCATTGTGTTTTCTACTGGTCCATAAAAGTACAGACCTTGACTGTGAGTATTTCTGATGGAATATTTGTTCTAAAGAAATATCACCAAGGCCCTTAAATGTATGTAATAGAAAATGTACTTACTGTTGGAGAATTGTCTACTAAGTGGGCAAAGGAAGCACTAAATTCACAAGTTTGGTCTTGGATAAGTAGAATTATGATGCTAGAATGTTTTACTACCATTTCTGGTAATATTGCTCCAACATCTCAGTGAATTCAGATGGATCAAAACATCACGTTGCAGCAGAACAGGACTCATCCAAAAAGAAAGCCTCGGAATGTTTCTGTCTATATACACAGAACAAATGATGGCTGAGGAGGCATAACAAAGTCACATACCAGACAAATTAGAAATACACACAGTAATCTAACCATTTACTACATAAATCATACTCATTTTGAAGAAGAGTGAATGCATGAATGGACATTTATAATAAGCAAATCATATACTTCAATAAACAATTACAACATTTGCACTAAAATTTGTTATCATGGGCACTGACACATGGAAATTTCCCTGTGGAATGTATTTCCAAAGATATGAAAATACAATACAGGGATACACAATAATACAATTATATTCTTTAACTGATTGGGAGGGTTTTTAGAACATTTTGTTGTCATTGTCCATTCTGAAAAGAACAATTTTAATACTATATGAATACTATATAGGGCTCACTAAGAAATCAGGGTGCATGTTAAAAAATTAAAGACCTCTCGATGACATTCTATTGATCAACCATCAGAAATTCTACAACAGTTGAAAATGTTGATATTTGCCACTTGTGCTCACATTTAAACTCTGGGGAAAATATTCACATTTTCATTTTGACTAAAAAGTAGAACACTGTACTGTGGATTTAGCTGATTGATACCATCCTATCTATGACTGTCACAACAACATGAAATCTATGTAATTCACTGAAGGACAACTTCCTATGGCCGTGTTTTGTAGTTCATTATCCTCGATGAAGTGCTGGCTCAGATTCAAACAGCAATGAGTAATCATGATGTGTCTTACTCGAAATCATGTACCAGTAGATAACATAATACCCAGACTTATCAATTGATGAACAACTGTAGGAACAGTCAGCACTAAGCACAAGAAATATTACTCACTGCTAAATGCTATTGCTTGATAAACATTTAAACCCATTACTACAACTGTACGTGAATTTAATTTGTTCCTTTTGCAAACGAAAGGAACGATACCTGCCCACATTGAAACACTGACATTTTCATTTGGACTAAAAAGCAAAGCAATGTGTTGTGCATTCATCCAAGCCTAAATTAACAAGCATGACAGGCTTTAATAAGTTGTTTTTAAACCCCTGACTGTATCTATTTATTTCTCTTTTATTAAGCATTCTAAGATCTGTGTCACAAAGCGCACGTACCCTTTAACTTGATACGATTTTTGCGATAGGCTTGACAAACTGTAAATGGGAGACCCCTGTATTTATCCAGCAAATGAATAGCAGTAGGAGGGTGTTCAGGAAGGATGAGATCGGGTGGGCAGCAAGGCCTTCTTCATCCAAACCAATCTGGCGACCTGCAGTGCTATCAGAACAATAGATATCCAAAAATCAAATGGTCTTAGTTTTGAGGCCATTGTCTTAACATTTTAGTAAATTCAGTCAAAATTTTGGAAGTCATTTTTCTTCATTTCTGAATGGCAGAAGACTGGCTCCCAAACTATGAACACATTTTTCAAGCATTTTTCAAAATTTTGCAAAACCTGAAATTTCATGACAACAGGTCATGAAGGTTTAAAGCTAAAACAATGAGAAATTTTAGGTCTCAAATGCCACCCCCCCACACCCCCCGCCAAAAAAAGTATGCATCAATGGAGGATGCTGAATAGATTAGTTTCCAAAAACAAAAAAAGGCTGCCTTGTTCTGCTCCTCTTGCAAGCCAGCAAATAAAGAGGGCAGAAATTGATTTAAAGCAATATTCAGATGGCATCAAAGCAATTGTATTCACAGGGGGCTTGAAGGCATACTCCCACCGTGCAGTGCGTCACTAGCAGCTAAAGTAATGAAAACTGTTACAAAAAGTGCAATTGACGAAACCCAATGCTTCAATTATTTATCTGCTTGAATCTGAAAAGTATCCTAAAAACATTTTCTTTTAATGTTTGCAGCATTTATCCCCTTTGGAATTGCAGTCATGCCAAAAGTCCACTTAGAGCAAGGTTATGAATAATTATTCAATGATGTGCTCTTCAACATCTCTAAAGAGAATAATTGGAAACAGTCAATTGAACTGCAGTGCATCAGCAACCCACCGTCCTAAAGACACAAATGCAATTGTTTTGTTCTGATATGCAAAGAATAGGAGGGTAGAAAGATGCAGCTATATATATATATATATATATAAAGTACAGAATAACTGGAAAGAAATTCCCCTGCAAATTCAATCCAATGTACATATTGATATAAAGAGGTTGAGGATGAATAATGCAATATGGGTAACAAAAGGATTGGTAAATCCCAACGAGATCGAGGGTATTTTTTGGGGGGACACGTAATATCTAACAAATCAGATTGGGTTATGCTTTGCACCAATTGCTAAAAAAAAGTGACCTTTTTGACATTGTTTATGAAATGTGAAAACCTATTATATCCAAGTAATGAAAAGATTCGCTCCTTTTGGTGATCAGTGCACTATTAATCTTTACATCTGTGCTCTTGTCTGCTCAACACCACCACCATACGGTTCAGAAAGTCTGTGACAATCTCACCCATCGTGACTGGCTGCACCATTTTTAAGAAACAGCTGCTGATCCATCACCCCAGTATCACAGACATGTTCATTAGTGGGACTTTATGACTAGCAGTGTTTTTACTGACATTTCACAAACTGAACTGTACAACCACAGGGGGTGCTGAAATCCTGTCATTTAGGAAATGTCAGAGGAGCAGCCAAGTGGTTAGCTCACTTCCTCCAGTAAATCTGTGTGACTGAACACAGTGATCCAACATGAGGCTCAATTTAGAAATTCTGAAAAGTACTGAATAGGAATTATCTGCTTGTGGTGTCAGACAAGGAATACCCCCTACCACTTCCACCATTGCTGACATGCATACATACACATGCACCCTGAAACACAACAACTTTGTAAAGCGCCAAGTTGCACATTTTCCCATTAGTTTAATGACAGTCAGCATTTTGTAAACCAAAAAACTCGGGGTAAGCCATTAGTTTTTCTTTTTAGCTTTTTCCCCTTTTTTATTATTTGAATTTGTCTTGTTGATACCTTTTTTAATTCCCTTTGCAGTCATTCCTACATGTGTAGAGCAAGTGACAGCAAGAAAGAGGCTAAAATGATAAGGATAACCCTAGATAAGGAGTTCAAAGTCATTTAGCCTGTATCTCCATTGACAAGAAAAGCCACATTGCTGCATTAACATTCTGATTATTGAGATCTAATATGCAATGTGTAAACTATGTGTAAAAACAGTTGTATTATCACTATTTGTTCAGAGAAAATTAAACATGCCTTTAACTATGCGATGAGCCAACAAAAAAGGATCAGTTGTTAATCTATAGAATTAAAAATCGTTTTTAATGGCTGATTATGTCACACACATACACACCACACACAGACACACACACGACATGTAATACAATTGCGCTTACACATGGCATAAAATATACCCAATTATGACAATTGAACACTCTCCCTAATATAAATTATCCAGACATCAGTATGCAAGGAGACAGCGGTTTTCCACCGTCTTGGCTCATCACCATAAGCACATCATTGCACACAGTAAATTTGCCAGTCAATTTTACAGATAATAAAATTCAATCTAGATACTGGATACTGTAATAACAAAACAACTAGCATCCATTTTATACAGCAAGTGATGAAATCAAAAACAGTTGATAACAAATTACATCTTAAAATCCCAGACAGTTGCACAAGTTTAATGCTTAGTGAATAATTATATATCATGTGGTGCAGTCATTTAAATTATGTACAGTTGGCAATCTTCCAATAATAGCAGCCATTGTTATTACACAGTGTCTTGATTCTATGCACTCCAAACCACAACTTTATAATAGAATCAAATTGCATGTATTTCAAGGGGGAGAAAACTGTAAATCTGTGGACTAGAGAATATATTTTTCCTTATAGTTAGGACACTCTTAACCCACCTAAATCATCTGGAGTTGTATACGTGATACTGATTCTTAAACTTTCTTTCCACTCAGCTATGGTAACTCTGCAAGCCAAAGCCTAAAGCCCTTGGGGTGGTCCTAGCTAGACAAGCAACTGTAAAGCTTTACAGACAGCGCTTTCAAAGGCACATTTTACAGTTTCAGCTGGTTAGACTCCAGCAGTATCCCAATGGGGGTCCCCAAGCTTTGACTCTTGCCAACCTGCACCTATTCCTCTCCAAAATTAGGTAAGCAGGATGTATCCCTCCAGGGAAAGTGTGTATTCCACCCCAATAAATATCTCAGGAATTTCCACGTATTGGTGGGATGTATGGCTGATTTGGTTTGGACACTATTAAGCGCAGTGATGGGTTTCTCATGCGTCAGACACCGGCTGACCCAAAAAATGTTTATCTGGAGGATTGTTAGCCAGCACAATAGGAGAAAATCCTTTCCGTTTCCAAAATGTGCCAAAATATTGAACCTATTTTCACTGAAAAAGGGATGATAATAATAATAATCCTTGCATTTGTTATAGCACCTTATCACGTCTTTGAGACTTCTCAAAGCACTTCACAGAATTGTAAAATGAATTGACTGTATATTTTGTGGGTGAAATGCAGCAGCCAATTGCGCACAGCGCATCCCACAAACAGACAGGATCTAATAAAAACCATTAAATTTTAAAAGGTTTTGAAAGGATAAAAGTTAAGAGGAAGTATGGGGAGAATAATTTTCACATAAAGGGTTACTAGAACTTGAAATGCTTTATCACAGGATACTACTGAAGCAAAGACTATGTCAATATTCACAAGAGAATTGGATGAATATTGAAGACAACATTATAAAAGATATAAGAAAAGCACAGGCAATTGGGATTAGAGTATGAAACTCCAGTGGAGAAGTTAATATAAGTATAAACTCGGTGGTCTGAAAAGCCTCTCCCTTGGCTGTAATTTCTATGGCTCTATGAAATAGTTGCTCTAGCAGAAATATTGCTCCTTTTAAAATATACTTTGCAAATGAAATTATGGAAAGTCTAAGAGGCAAGAGTGATTATAAGAAAATAAATCTCATTAAGTACTCTAAGATCACATCATGACCTTGTGTGTGAAGCTTTAGCAATTTGTCACCTGAACCAAAGATGCATATTTCACTGTCATCACTTACACCCCTGCATTTTTTATAAAAAAATATAAAAGATTATCATCTAAAATGAATGAGATTGGTATGGCCTAATGCTATCCTGCATTACTGGCTCTGAAAGGCTTTTTCTTCTGCTGGTAGATGTCAAAACTGACAACAATGACCAGATCATTTCACTTTCCACTCAGTTGATGCACGATGGCTGAAGGATTCAATTTATAACATCATTATTGCAAGATTACTTTGAATTTGAACTGCACTGAACCACTGAGAAAATAACACTCCTCGTATATTAAATACGGGTGAGCATGCAGTCTACAATGAAATATTGCGACCATGCCATGAGTATAATAAATTGCACAATTGATTAATGTCATTATGCCCTGAGATCTATTACTGCCTTGGAACAGGCTCCAGAACGTTTTATTCTGCAGATTGACAGCTCGAAATATAAGGAATTCTTAAAATTTCCATTTCAGATTTACTTATTTATTTATTTGCCAGTAAAGCAAGGCTATCCTGGCAGACAATAACTAGAATAGCTCCTGCAATTAAATCACATGAATTGCTGAGCAGTGAAATTGTGGTTTATTTTGCTACCCGATTCAGGCAGACATCTTACCTTTACAGTGGTAGAATCATAACATCAGTGATTCTGCAGCTATAATAATTGAAATATAGGTGCATTTCTTCCTTTCAATTTATTCAGGGCACTGAATTCACAGTATTTACAAAATAAGATGCTGCGATTGTGGTCAATGGTTACTTTAGACTGCTGGAGTGCAGTCGACACAAAACCTTTGATCTTATTTATATTTAGTTAGTTAAGACCGGATGCTATCACAACACAGCTGGAAGAGCTGCTAAAATGTAGCTGACAAACAAAATACACACAGTCACAACACTGTGAAGTATTTTGAGACATCTTGATAACGTGTTAAGGCACTATATCAAATGCAAGGATTATTATAAAGGCGCTATACAAATGTAATCTTGCTATTATTAATGTTAATTCTTCAGGTAGAATCTGTTCACTCAGTAATTGTGTGTGAGGCTTTTTCATTCAGATTAGCTTTCCTCTTGTGCCCAAGTAGAAGTGGTTGTGACCGTCAGTGCATACCTATTACAATCCAATTCCCGAGTAACTGAAGAGCTTATATTTAACTGGTTCAACTACATTCTAGTTTGAGTTTTACCTTCATGTTGTCATTGTTAATTCCAGAATGTGAAATAGACTGGAATCGGCCATCCTTTGCACTGATCGCAGAGGTCAATTCTTGAACAATTTTATAAACTTCTTCTTCAATCTTTGAAACCTGTCGACGACGTAGATCCACCTAACAAAGACATGTTAAACAGCTTATTTCTGAGCAAAACATTGCCTGAGAGTAATTTATGATAAATTGCTGACGTTGGGTCTATCATAACACAGATCGAATAAAAACGCAAGTTATTTACAGAAATTGCAAAATACTTTTCAAAAAGTACATTGAATGTCCTGGAGGTTATAATTGGTCAGATCTACTGAACATTCAGCAATTATTGAAGGCAAAGTACTAATTCTAGTCAAAGTAACATACAAAAAGAGCTAATGTGATACTTAAACGCTACAAATGGCAAACTAAGGCTGCAGGCAGCTTGGTACAAAGCAAAGCCTGCTAGTTATTGGTGGATAGCAGCAATAAACCACACTGTGCAGAAGCTGCCAAAAGGAGCTTGTAAATACAATAGAGAACTGAAAATTAGGTCCTTAATAAGCTGTGCCATTTGAAGCAAAATTCCACAGTTAGTGTCCTGTATTATTGCATGTTTTTGTAATTAAATAGCACACATATATGGTACTTAAACTTACACTAGATCACAAACATCTTTATCAGTTTGTTTCAGTCGCTCGCACTCTCGCCTCGTGGTCTAAAATTTATGGGTTCAAGCTCCAAATTGGTACTTGAGCTCACAGTCCAGGTTCACATTCCAGTGTAGTGTTTGGAGAGCACTGCATTGTTGGAATGTGCCATACTTAATATTAATAATAATCCTTGCATTTGGTATAGCTCCGTATCACATCTTCTAGACGTCTCAGTGGGATTCACAGAATATACTGTAAAGTGAATTGACTGTATATTTTCTGTGGGAAACCAGGCAGCCAATTGCGCACAGCAGTGTCCCACAAACAGTCGTGGATTGAAGTGACTAATTGATTATTGTTGTTTTTGGAAGGAATTATTATCCCCGGAAAAGCGATCTGCCAATTGACCCTCAACCGGGTTCCTACTTACCGCTATGTAAACAGAGGCATGTGGAGTAAAGAAACTTGGACAACATTTTGCTCTGCCGGGAATCGAACCCAGGTCTCTCGTTTGCAAGGCGAGTGCTCTAACCACTGAGATGAGACATTAAACTGAGATAAGACATTAAACTGTGATCCCATCTGCCTTTCCTGAAGTGGTATCAAAGGCCTCATGACTATTTGACAAGGGAAGGAAGTTTCTCCCAGTGTTCTAAAGCACAATCACCAAATAAAAGTGGTCATTCATCTTATGGTTGTTTTTAGGACCTTGCTGTACACACAACGCCTGCCACATTCACCAATAAAAAGAATCACTTCACTTGACAGTAAAAACTGTAAAGCAATTTGTTATATTCTGTACTCAAATAATATTCAATAAATAAATCATCCTAATAATATTCCTTGCATTTGGTATAGTTCCTTTCATGTCAGGAAGATGCCTCAAAGCGTTTCACAGGATTTTATTCTGAAATGTATTGGTCGGCAACTGTGACATTCCAATCGTATACAGCAATGTTCCAAGAATAGCCATGGAACAAATGACCAATTTTACTTGCGGGGTTGTTGGCCAGGACACCAGTAGAAACTCCCTTCTCTGAAGTCAGAAGAAGCAAATTCCATAGAATCATAGAATTGTACAGCACAGAAGGAGGCCATTCGGCCCATCGTGTCTGTGCCAGCTCTTTGAAAAGAGCTATCCAATTCAATCCCACTACCCCGCTCTCTCCCCATAGCCCTGCAAACTTGTCCTTCCCAAATAATTATCTATTTCTCTCTTAAAAGTTGCTTTCAAATCGGCTTCCACCACCCTTTCAGGCAATGCATTCCAGATCTGAACAACTCGCTGTGTGAAAAAAATTCTCCTCACCTCTTCTCTGTTACTTTTAACAACTATTTTAAGTCAGTGTCCTCAGATTACCGACCCACCGGCCAGTGGAAATCATTTCTCCTCGTTCACCCTATCGAATCCCCTCATAATTTTGAAAATTTCTATTAAGTCTCCTCTTAACCTTCTCTGTTCCACAGAGAATAATCCTAGCTTCTCTAGCCTCTCCTGATAACTGAAGTCCCTCATTCCTGGTACCATTCTGGTAAATCTCCTTTGCACCCTCTCCAATGCCTTGACATCCTTCCTAAAGTGGGGGGCCCAGAACTGAACACAGTACTCTAGCTGAGGCCTAACCAGCGTTTTATATCATCGTAACTTCCTGACTTTTGTATTCTATGCCCCTATTTATAAAGCCGAGTATCCCGTATGCTTTTTTTAACAGCTTGATTGCAAGCATACAACAGCTTGCATTTATATGGCACCCTCCATGCAGGGTAGCGTCTCAGAGAGCTTAACAGCAGCAGAGCCTGACTCCAGGCTGGAGGTGGGGTTGGTGGGGGAGAAGTGACTGTAAGTACGGTCAAAAAGGAAGGTTTTCAGGAGGGAATTGAAAAAGGGGAAAGGGGGCTAGGAGGAGGGATTGAGGGAGAGCGTTCCAGAGTTCGAGCACTCTTGCTTCATATCTACCACAAACACACACAGCACACATTGGACTAACTACTGCAATGTCCCACACCATTACTAGCAATAACCACATCCAAGTTAGGTACAGAATTCAGAGTGAAGCTTCTCTACTGTATTTACAGGTAATCTATGGGCTATGTATTCCTTGAGAACTGTGGACATTTTCACAGCTTTTGTCAATATTGTTGACTTGTGGCTAGTCAATATTTAGGTGCTTCATTTCTGATTGTTTCCTTAGTTGGATAGAGTGGGGCTAAGCAGAACAGACTGTGCTACATGTTACAGAGGTAACATGTAAATAAACAATAAGATTGCAACTTTTATTTGTGATTACACCTTTCGCAAAAATATTATTGTGTAATTGGTAAATTAGTGTTAAATGTTTGTTGGGATGAGAAAACATCATCATTGTAGCCTCAGCAGTCCAATAATAAAAAACTGTATTTACTTAGTTTGTCTATGCGCAACACGCATCATTTTACATCCACAAATTGCCGTGAAACTCACATCTGCTTTATATGCTTTGGTCAATATAGAGCTGTATAAAATGGTCAAATATTTAGCAAACCAGATCCAAATAACAGTGCTTTGTAAACATGTGTCAGTTACTCCAATATAACGGCTTTACTGAGAATCACCTGAGGAACTGATAATATTGTGTACAATAAAACTCTCATAAGTCTGATCTGTATAAATTGTATAATCGCATAAGTCATACATCTGCCCATTCAAAAGTTTATATCCTATGGAAATTTGACATAACTCATACTTTGCATAAGTTATGCTAAATGTACGGTCCCAACTGATACGACTTATGTGAGGTTTACTCTACACGTCTTTCAATTGCGTCAGAAAGTCTCTTAATTAGAAAACATTTCTAGGTAACAATCTTATCAAGCTGTGTATGAAAGACAGCTCAATGATTGTAGAAACCCAGGCAAGGAAAATTGGCAACTTGATACCTGTAGTTCTATCAACAGGGAACAAGGCAACAAACAAGATGTGTTCAAAGTCAAAAATCTGAGATCACCTGAACAAAAGGGAATATGCATTAAGAAGACTAATAAAAAGATCAAGTTGGACTTCCAAATACCCTTCGTGAACGGAGATATTGTAAGGATTAACTCCCAGATAGCCAAATTAAGAAGGACTATTTGAAACCATAATTGATGCTATATTTTCCGAGCAGAAGATTCTCTTGAATCTTGAGAAATCCACATGCAAGTGGCACCTGTATTCCCAATGATATAGCTTCTCTTATCTAGATGTTCTTTCTGATCTTCCTCCACCTGGCCACAGAGAACTGAGGTGTCTTCGACAAACAAGGAAGAGTCCAGGTCAGTGCTATTAGATTGGAGAAATGTTAATTACTCAGGTAGTAATGGAGAAATCAGTGACAAGCCCCAGCCTAATCCTATCCTCACATGACAATTCACATACGCACTTTCCAGTGGGAATCACTGGACAGTGATCAAGAGGGGGAAATCCAGGCTGATATTTCTCCTCCTCACACCAGGGATCCTGTGACCAAGTGCAGTCCCCCAGCCATTGCACTTTAAAGACCATGGTCAATATACTGGCGATTGGGTGATAGAAAAAAATGGAGGAAAACAGAGCATATGCATGTGCACAATATTTAATATAGCTTCCACGTTGTCATCATCCTCCACTTAAAGAAGTTTCTCCTAAACTCTCTTTTCGATGCATTATTGAATACCTTACATTTATGACCCCATTGTTTGGACTCACTAACAATTGGAAAAAACCTTTTCAAACCCTTTCATAATCCATAATCTTAAGCACCTCTATCAGGTCCTCTCTCATCATCAGGGAGAAAAGTGCCAACCGGTTCAATATCTCCTGATAGCTGTATCCACTTTTTCCTGGCAACATCCTCGTTCTACTCCGAACTCTCTCCAACGCTACAATATTCTTCCTGAAGTATGTTGATCAGAGTTGCATGCAGTGCTCCAAATACGGCTCTATTTGTGTCAGCCTGGTTCAGTGGTAGAACGCTCGCCGCTGAGTGAGAAGGTTCTGGGTTCAAGCCCCACGTTGGGCCTTGGAAACATATCATCTAATCTGTTATTCCAATGCAGTGCGGGTGATCTGTTGCATCAACAGAGATCTCATCCTTTGAATGAAACGTTAAACCGAGGTCCCGTCTGCCTGTCGAAGTAGATGTTAAAGATTCCATGGCACTATTCGAAAAGAGAAGGGACTTTCCCTCTTCTGGTGTCCTGGCCAACAATCCCCCCAAATAAAATTGGTCACTCACTCCACGGCTGTTTGTGGGACGCTGCTGCGCACAAACTGGCTGCTGCGTTTCACCCACAAAATATACAATCAGTCCACTTTACAGTACATCCTGCGAAGCACTTTGAGGCGTCCCGACGACGCGATAAGGCGCTATATCAAATGCGAGGATTATTATTATTATTATTGTAACATTATTTCCCAATTATTTGTACACTAAAACCTCTGAATCCTTTGCAAACAGATCTAACACAGACACACAACAAAACGACTGTAGCTTCTGTCTTGACTTGATATGTAGGGTGGTTTCCCCACTGGTGACATGAGCCAGTTCTCCCCTGGCAACACAACGCCAGGTATTGACACCACAAAGAAAAGAAAAGGCAAAACTTCAGCTCTCCACCCACCTGATTCTGCAGGTAATGGTCCAGGTCCTCTTCTGTGAAGTGAGGCATTTCTGTCAGATCTCTCTCCCTCTCTCTCCCTCTCTATCTCTCTCCACCCTGGCAGATCCTGATCAGTATTTTTCCAGCTATTCCTTCCCCTCCTTCCTGCCCTTTTTTTTAAAAAAATGAGACAAATCTCCCCCTCCCCTATCTCTCTCTCTGTCTGTCTGTCTGTCTGTCTGTCTGTCTGTCTATCTATCTATATATATATATATATATCTGTCTGTCTCTCTTTCTCTCTTCTCTCCCTCCCTCTCTCTGCCTCTCTCTATCTGTCTGTATCTCTCTCTCTCTCTCTTCCAGTTTATCTGATCCTGGCTAACTCTATGCCTGTCGTTGCTCCCTGACCTAGTCTCTACTTCTCTTTGCAAAAATATTTCTCTCCAGGTCCAGGTTCCTCTCCTCCCCACAGAATTCCTTCAATGTAATAATCTTTCCTCCTTCTCCCACTGCACTCTCCCCCCACCCCACACACACACACTCTCTCTCTCTCTCTCTCTCTTTGCTTTGCTTTGCAATTATTTTGCCTCTCACAATTCCTGTTGATTTATTCCTGGTGCACTCCTCTCTGCACTGTAAACATTGCCTCCCCTCCCCTCTGTGTGTGTGTGTGTAAACTTCTGTGTGTGTGTGTAAACTTGTGTGTGTGTGTGTGTAACCCTCTGTGTGTCTGTAAACTTATGTGTGTGTAGGTCTGTGTATAAACTTCTGTGTGTGTGTGTGTGTGTAACCCTCTGTATGTGTGTAAACTTCTGTGTGTAAACTTGTGTGTGTGTGTGTATAACCCTCTGTGTGTGTGTCTGTAACCCTCTGTGTGTGTATTTGTGTGTGTGTATCCCTCTCTGTGTGTGTGTGTGACCCTCTGTGTGTGTGTCTGTAACCCTCTGTGTGTGTATTTGTGTGTGTGTATCCCTCTCTGTGTGTGTCTGTGTGTGTGTGACCCTCTGTGTGTGTGTGTGTGTATATATATATGGGTAACCCTCTCTGTGTGTCTGTCTGTGTAACCCTCTGTGTGTGTCTGTATATGTATAACCCTCTGTGTCTGTATGTGTGTAACCCTATGTGTGTGTGTGTGTGTGTGTGTAACCCTATGTGTGTGTGTAACCCTATGTGTGTGTGTGTAACCCTATGTGTGTGTGTGTGTAACCCTATGTGTGTGTGTGTAACCCTATGTGTGTGTGTGTGTGTGTGTAACCCTCTGTGTGTGTGTTAGTGTAACCCTCTGTGTGTGTGTTAGTGTAACCCTATGTGTGTGTGTGTGTGTGTGTATGTAACCCTCTTTGTGTGTGTCTGTGTGTAACCCTCTGTGTGTGTGTTAGTGTAACCCTCTGTGTGTGTGTTAGTGTAACCCTCTGTGTGTGTGTGTAACCCTCTGTGTGTGTGTGTAACCCTCTGTGTGTGTTTGTGTGTGTGTGTAACCCTATGTGTGTGTATGTGTGTAACCCTCTGTGTGTGTGTGTATGTAACCCTCTGTGTGTGTGTGTGTGTATGTAACCCTCTGTGTGTGTTTGTGTGTGTATGTAACCCTCTGTGTGTGTTTGTGTGTGTGTGTGTAACCCTATGTGAGTGTGTAACCCTCTGTGAGTGCCTGTATGTGTGTGTATGTAACCCTGTATGTGTGTGTGTTAGTGTAACCCTCTGTGTGTGTGTGTAACCCTATGTGTGTGTATGTGTGTAACCCTCTGTGTGTGTGTGTGTGTAACCCTCTGTGTGTGTTTGTGTGTATATGTAACCCTCTGTGTGTGTGTGTGTGTAACCCTCTGTGTGTGTGTGTGTATGTAACCCTCTGTGTGTGTTTGTGTGTGTATGTAACCCTCTGTGTGTGTTTGTGTGTGTGTAACCCTATGTGTGTGTGTAACCCTCTGTGAGTGTCTGTATGTGTGTGTATGTAACCCTGTGTGTGTGTGTGTTAGTGTAACCCTCTGTGTGTGTGTGTGTGTAACCCTCTGTGTGTGTGTGTGTGTAACCCTCTGTGTGTGTGTGTATGTAACCCTCTGTGTGTGTTTGTGTGTGTGTGTAACCCTGTGTGTGTGTGTAGCCCTCTGTGAGTGTCTGTATGTGTGTGTATGTAACCCTGTGTGTGTGTGTGTGTGTTAGTGTAACCCTGTGTGTGTGTGTATGTTAGTGTGTGCTGAGCTGAAGGCAGGTCTGCAGTCTGCAGGTCTGTTTGTTGGATACTGTGTGTGTCCTACCAGAGCCCATCACTCACTCACTCACCAGGACAGGGCTCAGGACTGGAGTCACCTATCGATGACTGATCGCTCCCTAAAAGCTGAAGCATTTAGGCTTATAACATTGCTGTTGCCTAATCCTGAAGGTCCTCTGGGTCCTAACACCCTCCATGTCTTTTTTTGGGGTGGTGGGGATGGGGTGGGAGTGGAGGAAAAAAGAGGTTAGGGGAGGGGCATGAGCCCAGGAGGAACAAACCCACCACCCCCCAAATCCTCCCCCCCCCCCCCCCCACTCCTCCCCACACGCCCGCACACTAACTAATACTAATACTAATCCTTGCATTTGATATAGCGCTTTTCACGTCGGGAGGACGTCCCAAGGCACTTCACAGAACACACTGTAAAGTGAATTGACTGTACATTTGTGGGCGAACGCGGCAGCCAATTGCGCACAGCAATGTCCCACAAACAGTCGTAGATTAAAAATGACCAATTTATTATTGTTTTGTTTTGGAGGGATTATTATTAGGCTCTGTGTGGAGTAAGGAAACTTGCCCAAGGTTTCGCGCTCTGCCTGGAATTGAACTCAGGTCTCTCACTTGCAAAGCGAGTGCTCTAACCACTGAGTTACAGGACTCCATGTACACAAACACTTATAAAAATATTTTTCAGATACAAAATATTATCCAGAAGGCTAATCACATAAATGTTGGTTACCCATCCCAAGGAGCAACTGATATATATTATATATTACATATATATGATATGATATATATTATATATTACACGAGCAGAGCGAGGCGAGAGGAAGGGCCAGTTGAGATATAATGGCTTAAAAAGTCCGCGCATATGTGCCCTACAACCACCCCTGTGTTCCGAAGAAAGTCGCCGCCTATCAAATGTTCTCCTCCCATCCCACCAACCACTCATGTGGTTCTTACTGAGACACTATGTTAATCTTAAATACTGAGGTCTATAATAATCTAAGCATTTTGAGATGTTTTTACAGGGTTAGGCTTGCAGCATGTGGGGCAGTGCTATATCAAATGTAATAATAATAATCCTTGCATTCCATATAGCGCTTTTCACGTCTTCTAGACTGTCCCAAAGCGCTTCACAGAATATACTGTAAAGTGACTTGACCGTATATTTGTGGGCGAATGCAGCAGCCAATTGCGCACAGCAGTGTCCCACAAACAGTCGTAGATTGAAAATGATCAATTTATTATTGTTTTTGGTTTTGGAGGGATTATTATTAGGCTCTGTGTGGAGTAAGGAAACTTGCCCAAGGTTTCGCCCTGCCTGGAATTGAACTCAGGTCTCTCGCTTGCAAAGCGAGTGCTCTAACCACTGAGCTACTGGACTCCACACAGGAGTCCACATAAGGATTACAACAACAACAATTTGCATTTATATAACGCCCTCCATGCAGGGTTGCGTCTCAGAGCGCTTAACAGTGGCGGAGCCTGATTCAGAGACCGAGGCAGGGAGGGGGTGTCCGTAAGCATGGTTGAAAAGGAAAGTTTTAAAAAGGGGGAGAGAGGGGGCAAGGCAGAGGGATTGAGGAAGAGAGTACCAGAGTTTCAGGGCGCAGTGACTAAAAGCGCAAACTCCAACAGTGGAGCGGAGACACCGGGTGGTGGATTGGGGAGGGAGGAGGTCAGAGAGGTAGGGAGATGCCAGGGCGTGAAAAGATTTGAACACAAGAGTGAGGATCTAAAAGTCGATCCGTTTGGTGATGGGGAGCCAGTGGAGCCTGGGCAGAACTGGTGAGATGTGGGTATGGAGTTTGGTCCGGGTCAGTATGCAGGTGACAGAGTTCTGAATGAGTTGGATTTTTTGAATAGCGGAGCTGGGGAGACCGGCGAGAACTGAGATTGATTAATCCAGGCAGGTGGTGGCAACCGCATGCAAGAGGATTTCGGCTGCATTTGGGGTAAAGTACAGTCAAAGGCAGGTCATGTGGCAGAGGTGGAGGAAGATGGTCCTCATCAGAGACCAGATGTGGGGGAGATGACACAACTGGGGGTTGAACTGGACGCCTAGATTGTGCACTGGTTCAGTGAGTCTGAGGGAGAGCCCGGGGAGGTTGAGGAGTTCAGATCCTCAAGAGTGAAGACATTGACAGGAGTCAAGGAATATGGCTTCCGCCTTGTCTACTTTCAGCTGCAGGATTATTATCATTATTATCCAATGTTGACAATGTGCTCTTTGTTTTATATTACAAATGGAAAAAAAGGGCAATGCATTCAATGAAACATTTTAAAAAGTGTTTCATCAAAATTACAATGTCTAGAAAGCACTATATACAATAAGTATTACTTTGAAGTGTAGTGCTTCTTGGTACGTAGGCAATAGTGACAGATAATCTGCATCTGGAAGGGGCCCACAAACACCAGTGAAATAGATGAATCACTTGATTTCTTTTCTTTGCTGCAATTATTTGGGACGGGAAGCCGTAAGAACTTGTTGTAAGAACTCCCTGCTCTTCTTCAATACAGTGCCCTCAATAATAAAAATAATAATCCTTGCATTTGATAAAGCGCCTTATCACGTCTTTGAGACGTCTCAAAATGCTTCACAGAATATACTGTAAAGTGAATTGACTGTATATTTTGTGGACGAAACATCCATTTGACCAAACCGAAAAGGCACGCTGGGACCTCAGTTCATCAGTTATTACTTTCTTTTAAAATCATTGAATTTCTTGCTGTTTTTCCACAGTTGCTTGATAATTGTATAAAGCAAAAATAGTGCAGATGCTCTGACACAGAAACACAAAGTAGGTTCTCTCTCAGACACGATTCCCTGATTGAACACAGAATACTCAAATGTCATTCCGTGGACCTCAAGATGAAGTACACTAGCTTCTTTTGTGTGTGTACAGAAACTTCCCATGTGACATACTTTTATGGCTCCTTCATAAATAGAAAGCTTATGAAACGTTCCTTCATAAGATCTTCTCCCACACCACATTCACTCTGCATCCCATCCAGTGACAACATTGTAAAGAGGGGCAGTT